GCAAGACCCATCAGAAACGTGATTAATCCCTTCTGGTTGAACGGGGTGGGGGGGGAGAAAAGCAAGCAAAGCATGCAAGACAGATGGAAATGGGGGAAAAGTAATGCAAAAAGCAAATGAAGCATGCAACACAGATCGTAAATGGGGAAAGAGTAATGCAACAAGCAAACAAATCATGCAGGACAAATCAGAAATGGGGAAAGAGCAATGCAAAAAGCAAATGAAGCATGCAACACAGATCGTAAATGGGGAAAGAGTAATGCAACAAGCAAACAAATCATGCAGGACAAATCAGAAATGGGGAAAGAGCAATGCAAAAAGCAAATGAAGCATGCAACACAGATCGTAAATGGGGAAAGAGTAATGCAACAAGCAAACAAATCATGCAGGACAAATCAGAAATGGGGAAAGAGCAATGCAAAAAGCAAATGAAGCATGCAACACAGATCGTAAATGGGGAAAGAGTAATGCAACAAGCAAACAAATCATGCAGGACAAATCAGAAATGGGGAAAGAGCAATGCAAAAAGCAAATGAAGCATGCAACACAGATCGTAAATGGGGAAAGAGTAATGCAACAAGCAAACAAATCATGCAGGACAAATCAGAAATGGGGAAAGAGCAATGCAAAAAGCAAATGAAGCATGCAACACAGATCGTAAATGGGGAAAGAGTAATGCAACAAGCAAACAAATCATGCAGGACAAATCAGAAATGGGGAAAGAGCAATGCAAAAAGCAAATGAAGCATGCAACACAGATCGTAAATGGGGAAAGAGTAATGCAACAAGCAAACAAATCATGCAGGACAAATCAGAAATGGGGAAAGAGCAATGCAAAAAGCAAATGAAGCATGCAACACAGATCGTAAATGGGGAAAGAGTAATGCAACAAGCAAACAAATCATGCAGGACAAATCAGAAATGGGGAAAGAGCAATGCAAAAAGCAAATGAAGCATGCAACACAGATTGGAAATGGGGAAAGAGTAATGCAAAAAGCAAACGAAGCATGCAAGACAGATTAGAAATGGGGAAAGAGCAATGCAAAAAGGAAATGAAGCATGCAAGACAGATTAGAAATGAGGGAAAAGTAAAACCAACAAACAAACTCCCAAGACCCATCAGAAATGGGGGGAAAAACACTCAAAAAAGCAACCAAACTCCCCAAAATCCATCGAAAATGGGAGGGAACCAAAAAACAAACAAACCCCCTGAGACCCATGGGAAATGGGGGGGGGGAACAAAAATCAAAAAACCCCCAAGACCCATCACAGCTTCCCGGAGTTGGGTCAAATTCATGTTGGTCGCTTCGATGACACTGTCCATCCATCTCATCCTCTGTCATCCCCTTCTCCTCTTGCCCTCACACTTTCCCAACATCAGGGTCTTTTCCAGAGCAATTTCTCTTCTCATGAGATGGCCACAGTATTGGAGCCTTAGCTTCAGGATCTGTCCTTCCAGTGAGCACTCAGGGTTGATTTCCTTCAGAATGGATAGGTTTGATCTCCTTGCACAATATAACTAGCACAAATAGCTAGCAGCAAAGATGATAACATAACCCATTCGGGTATTTCTTTTGAAAGAGCTAAGTGGTTTGTTCTCGGAAAGAAGATTTTCAGTTCCTTAACTGTAGGAGGCAGGTCATGGACATTTCATTTTAATCTGAAGGCTCTCAGCTTCGCCTCCTGAATAACAGCAGGCACCCAATCACAGCATCATTTGTATGCTTGAATCATTCTGAAAGTAAATAGAAGCTGTACCCACACAACTGATGGAATAATCAATTCCCAGAAGAAAACAGTCCCTAGAAGGAAGCTCTAAGGAGGCAAGAGGGTGGAAATTTTGCTAGTGTCTGCTGCATCTTGGCTCTTTCATACCCGGAAGGGAACACCCTGGGTATTCTGTAAAGAGGTCCTCTTCTCTGTGCATGCAGTGGGACCACTGGAACAATTAAAACCAGTATTTTCTTTTCAGATTCATTCCAAGGTTGATTGATTGATTGATTGATTGATTGATTGATTGATTGATTGATTGATTGATTGATTGATTGATTGATTGATTGATTGATTGATTGATTGATTGATTGATTGATTCAATATCCCGCCCATCTAGACCGAAGTCTACTCAGTCTAGTAGATGGGGGAAGTAGCTGAATGTGGTCAAACAGGCAGGGAGGGTAACAGAGGTTTTGGCCCAGGGTGCTTAAATTTAGAGGCCATGTTGGTTTCCCAGACTTCACGTGAGTCTAGCCTGGAGGCCTGGTGTTTTGCTATGGGAAAACACATAGTAGACCAGCCCTCCAGGGCAGATGCTCTAGCCACAACAGCACCATATTCTGGATGTTTGGACACTGTAGATTGTAATTTGAATCTACACGCCATCCCATATGACTGTGGTCCTTTTCCTCTGTGTTGTCCTTTCTGTCTGGCACAAATTCTGGTAAAGCCAAGAGTGGTTAGTTAACAAACCTTTCCTTTTCTCTTGAGTAGGTTAAATATTTTATCTTCTTGCCTGGAAAGTCTGCTCCAAGACCTGGGAGCAGAATGTGTGTATGACAGAGAGACAGAGAGAGAGAGACAGAGACAGACAGACAGGCAAGCAGGCAGGCAGGCAGGCAGGGATGGTCAGACAGACAGGCAAGCAGGCAGGCAGGCAGGGATGGTCGGGAGAGAAAATAGTGTTTTGCATTTATACCACACTGCAGAGTGTTCCACTGATGACTGTTTCACATTGTTTTAGCCAACTCTACAGCAGTCCTTCTGGTTGTTAAGTATTTCTTTTCCTAGATTGGAGAGAGTCTGGTGGAAATAAGTGGTCAAATTAGACATTAAGTTATTGTTAACTGCTGTCAAATTGCTCCTGACTTACAGCAACCCTATGAATTAATGACTTCCAAGAGATCCCGTCACTCCCAGCATTATTGTCTTTTCAAAGGATGCCTTCTTACTTGAAAATTCTATGATAATTCCTGTAGTAAAAAGAAAAGAAGAAATTATACAGATGATAGAAGACACTTAAAATTGTGAAGTAAAAACAAGAAGCAAAAATAAAAGGTAAAAGAAGTAGGGTCAAAATCTCAGACATAGCTTTGGGCTGTCATGTAGCCAGGTAACTAAACCACTGGGCTATTCAGGAAGCTGCAGACCACTCCAAAAATCAAACAATTTTTGTTCTAAATCAAATGGATCTTCTTCCCTTCCCGTCCACAGCATTCACAGTCTCTTCAGAAACAGATTGTTGTTGTGCTGCTGAGCAGCAGACCGGCTGCTCATTTTAATTGCAGGGGGTCGCCTCATTTTCTCCCATGATTATTATTCTGCAGAGGTTTAAAAGGCCTTTCTGCTTTCCGCTTGTAGCTCTGTTTCAAGCAGCGCTTAAATGTTAAGGAACAAATGTGTACCATAAATCATCTTTTAAGGGAAGATTACCAATGAACCATAGGCTGTAAGTAATGAACTTGAAGTCCCTTGAGGCCTGTTTTTTAGAAGTAAATAATAATTAAACAAATTTGCAGGACACGTTGTGGAGTAAAGAATTTTATGCCAGGAATTTTTTCTGACTCCCCATTTTTCTTACAGGACAGCAGTTTACAATTAAGAGAGAGGCAAGGAGCTTAGCAGCCACATGAAGCTGTGGTCCACAGGCACGTACCTCCCTCCGGGATGTGGCAAAGTCTGTGGCTCTCCAGATGTGGCAAGCTTTGAACTCCCATCAGTCCTAGCCAGCAGGGTCAATGGGCAGGAAATATGAAGTCCAACAACATATGGACTCCAGCACCAATAACTGGAAGTGTTTGCCCTGCCCAGCTTCACATTGAAGTTCTATTCATTTGGTAGACTCAAAAGTGTAGATCAGTGGTTCTTAACCTTGGGTTACTCAGGTATTTTCGAACTGCAACTCCCAGAAACCCCAGTTGGCACAACTGGTGGTGAAGGCTTCTGGAAGTTGCAGTCCAAAAACACCTGAGTAACCCAAGGTTAAGAACCACTGGTGTAGATGACTAAGTGGGTATGGGTTGTTGGTGAGCGCTGCCCCATATCCCCACTCCACCTGCCCCACTCTACCCTTTGTGCGATTAGTGCAAACATCTGAAACAGAGAGTCTGAGTGTATCGAACGGAATTTGCTTTCAGGGCTCCCACGATTAGGAACTTCGATGGAAGCTAAACCATTGGTCTATCTAGCTTAGTTTTATCAGTTGTTACTGGCTGCAGTGAATACAGAACATCTTACAAACTTAGAAAAATAAGCAGCTGCCTTATATTGGGTGACACCCCTAGTCTGTCTAACCCAGCACTGAGATTCTGACTCACAGCAGTTTTATAGAGTTTCAGGCAAAAATCTGTCCTGTCCCTACACAAGGTCACTGGAGATTGAACCCAAGGTTTTCTGTGTGTGGAACAGTTGCTCTGACATTGAACTACATCCCTTTCCCCAGACTGGCAACACTGGGGCATTAAAGGAGAAGAATGGCTGCTTGAACACAGTCTCCCATGTAGAGATGCCCTCAGGTAGCCAGAGGTCTTGTACCTTATCCTTCTTTGGTCCTAAATGGGAGTGGTTTGTCATGTTTTGTTAAGATTTACTGTTTGGTTTAAATATGGCTACTTTGCAGCCTGGTGTCACACTAGGGTCTTGTTTACCTACTTCCAACATACAATAATTTGGGGGGGCAAATTAGATCCGAATATGTACTCCTCATTTCCAGAGCCTAGACTCAAGTGTGTGTGTATACACACATACACACAAACCACATATTCATGCTGCTGTGCTGGTGAAAAAGCACACAGATAGATGAAAGATGAAAACACAGCATTTCATCTTCTGAAACATTTTGCTGCCTTTCGCGGAGCAAACCATGTAACTGAACAATATTTGGAATTGTTCCCTCTCGCCTACTGAAACCAAAACTGCAAGCTTATGGGAACCAAAGGATACTTCATATAGGGAGCTGGCTTTGTCCATTTGTAAAGACAACTGTGTTGGGCCAGATAATGAGGACGACTAGGTTTCTGTGGTGAGTTGTCTATAAAACTAATTTCCTTCCTGGAGTTCTTATACTTGGTGCATTGCTGTAGGACTAGGAGCTTCAGTGGGAACAAGCCAGCATCTCTTTGAACAAAACAAAACAAGGTAAGAAGTACATTCAATAATCTTTACTCTGTAATTCTGTAAGACTGTTTTGTTTTATTTTGTACTGCTTAACTGACGTACTGGATCATGCAAGATGTTCTGCAAGATAGTATTTGCTGCTCTTCCTTTAAGTTACCAGTTGGTGTTACATTTCATATCTTGTGATTTCCTTAGATAGATTCAACTAACCCAAGAATCAAGGTGAGATTACTGTACATGCTACAGCTGTCTGTTGTTATTGATTCCCCTTAGATTCATAAAGGGCCAGGTAGCTCAGCTGGCATGCCATTTTGCCATGCTGGATAACCCTTAATGAAAAGCTTCACCCTGCAGTGGTTTAGGTATCTGTCTGCAGAGCCAGATGTCCTGGGATTGTGCAGCTTGCCTGAGGCCACACAGGTTGGCACTTGTCCCAAGAGGGACAAGAGCCAACCTGTGTGGCTTTGGGCCAGCTGCATAATCCCAGGACATCCCTAGAAGAATTGAATGGTAAACCAATTCTGTGTATTCTCTATGTAGAAAACCCTGGAAAGAGTCGCCATAAGCCAGAGTTGTTTTGATGGTACACAATTACTATTAATATGGCAGGTAGCCAACACACAGCAGCATCAAGCACCAACTTAGTTCTTATTCTAAAATGACACTTCTTCCAGAATCAGTAGGTGCCTTCTGAGCCTACCATCCCACAGCAGAGCGCATCCAGTGCAACCATGCCAGTGCTGATGCGACACTACCAGGTGGGGTTGGGTGCAGGCATGGCTATCTGAGTCAAGATGCAAAACAAGTGGGGCATGGTGACAAGAATCTGCCTAGAGTTGAGCAGGGGTTGGGGCTGGGGGGGGGAGAGTTATTCTGGACAGTGAAGTGGGGAGACTCCTCATGGTGAGGGCAAGAACCGCAGCCTGTCCATTTCCCACCCAGATCTAAAGCCTGCAGAGACCTGTACACTGTGTACAGGATGAAAGGCTGTAATCCCCTCTCAGATTACTGTACTCTGAAACTTCTCATCTGAGGCAGCCATGTTTGCGTGTTTGAGCACAACTGGCAAAGAGTCCTTTAGTATCTTGAAGACCGACAAGTAAACATGATAGTTTTTAAGGTGCCACAAGGCTCTTGGTTGTTTTTAGTGGCAGGGCAACTACAGGGATGGCTTGCTTATTAGAAGGTAGCCATGCTTCCAGGGCTGACTCTTATTGCTCTCTAGTTCCATCAGTCTCATATCGCCGCTTCCCAACAATCACCCTGAAGGTGGATCACAACAATGTTGTCCTTTCTGAGTTCTCTCCTTCTAATTTTTCACAGCCAGCAGTTACAGTCCTCCTTGTTGTATGATGAAAGCCTGCTTGCTTCCTACGGAATAAAAGAGTGGTCAGGTGATGCTTCCTCTTTTCTTTGTTCTACAGCAGGTGTATTTTAATTAGTTGAATCATAGTCAAGAGCTACATATATATATTTGTTTGTAATGCTTGCCTGCAATCATGTAAAAGTTTGCTCCAAAATTAATACAGGAACACTAATGCAAGCATGGGCTAACTTCTCCCTCAGAGGAAAATGCCAGGGTAATTTTTCCTTCATTATGTGGTCTTCAAAGCATTTAAGCATTTCATTACACACACACACACACACCCCTCTCTCTGTGTCTCTCTCTCTCTCTCTCTCTCTCTCTCTCTCTCTCTCTCTCTCTCTCTCGGGGGGGGAATCACCTTTTTCCCCATTTCCCCCCTTTGCTCTGTCCACTCTGGTTTTTATGATTGGTCTGTGCCATTTGTTTTTAAGGGCTATTTGTAAGTTGCTTTTAATGCTTTTCTATTTATTTTTTTATTTTATATTATATTTGTTGTAACCACCCAGAGTAGTGCCTCAGCACTAATGGGAGCGGGATATAAATTGAATGAATGAATGAATGAACGAACAAACAAACAAACAAATAAACAAACAAACTTATGGTTAAGGAAACTTGACTTAATTTTTTCACAGTGGTGAAAATGAAGTTTACAAGACTTACCTAAGCCAAAATGGATTGCTTTCATTTCATTTTAATGCAAACTTGTTTTCTCAAACCATTTTAGGACATAAAACAGCAGTTTGCCCTTTGTCTTGCTGTGTGCTAGAACCATAAAAGCCCATATTAGAAATAATTATACAGCATTTCTTTTATTTTAATAGGTTTTGTTCCATATTGTTTGAAATATAATTCACAGCTTCCTTGAATCTAATTGAAATCAATTTCAGCAAAACTCATTGACATTTTAGAGAACTAACTTAATTGCCAAGGTTATTTAGTCACATTTTAAATCATTTATGAATTTCCAGGGAACTACATCTACCATTTACATCTTGCTCCCCCCTTTTTTCCTTAACTTAAAGGGGTGAGAAGACAATATGCCACAGAATATGTCTGCATAATAAGTCATTTTGAATAGTTCTCATACCACATTAGCATTTGAGACTCACTTCTTGGGACACACTAGTAGAAAAAATTGGCACCTAAAATTAACCTACTTATCTTTACTCTTTCAGTAGCCTTTCAGATTTGAATCCAGTGGCTGGGAAGCAGTGATTGGAATGGCATCCCACTCCTAAATACACTGCAGAACTAAATTCTGGGTCCTTCAGTTGAAAATTTCAATACAATATGTATTGCAGTTGCAATTAGCATGTCATACATATTAGGCATCCTTCAGTCTCGAGACTATGGTGACGTGCTCTGTATGGAGGACTTGGAACAGAATCTAGTGTGGCTGAGGAGGCCAATTCGAGAGTGACAATCCCTTCCACACTGAAGACAAATATAATCTGTCCCCTGTCCCGCTCCCTGGTTTTGCTGATTTCGGGACTGTCTCTTTGCCTCAGCCTGCTGGACAAGTGCCTCTTCAGAATGGCAGAGGCCATGATGTACCACCTGCCTCCAGGCTGAACGCTCAGATGTCAAGGTTTCCCATCTGTTGAGGTCCATTCCTAAGGCTTTCAGATCCCGCCTGCAAATATCCTTGTATCGCAGCTGTGGTATATGCCTTATAAAATATAAGAAGTTTTATGCACAGAAGGAGCCACAATGAGGGAGTGTTGGACTCCAACACTTTTCAACCTCTTGCAGCATAGCCAATTGTGATGGATTTGGGAATGATGAGATTTGTGGTTCAGGAACATTTGAACTACCTGCCACAGTAATAAGTTTTTATTACATTGTGGCTGAAATCCAGTTGCTTAGCATAGTAAGTTGCTGCTAAAGTAGGTCCAATGAATCAGTGGACAGTTGGTGAGTCAACTCACCAGAAGTTCCACAGATTCAATGGCTCTACTCTAGTAGCAACCTACTATACTAAGCAAGAGACTTCAGCCTGTGTGTGGTGTCTGCACACTACACTATGCATAAGTCCCTAGCCAGCTAAGGAGATGCAGCTGTACATATAAGCAGCCTTCTATGTGTAGCAAATTTGGCTTCTTGACATATGTAGAACTAACAGTAATTTGAACCCAAACCAGTAGACAGCCATTCATATTCTACCTTATCTGTATTTAGCTAAATAGGCAACACCATTTTTTAAAATAATAACAGGTAAAAGCATAAGGATTTGTAATGTACTAGGGTGTGTCCGACCCTTATTCCAAAAATTTGTGGAGGCATTCCTGCACCCTAATCATAAGCATCCTGTGTTCAATGATTCTATATACTGATTGGAGTGACTGGACATCACACAAAAGGTGTGCAAGTCTCTTTTGCCGCTTCTTTGTAGCACTCAAACACTCAGGGTCAAACTGTAGATGAGCAATCATTTCTGCTGAGGAAGACCAGATCTTCAACTGGTGGAGCAAAGTAGGCTAGCTAATGTTGCATTCTGATGTCGTGTTAAGAGACACAGCAGGACATGATGTTGTGTTTGTATTCTTCCCTGACAGCTGCAAGCATGAACAAAGTAAAGATTGCCACTGCTGAAGGATTTACCGTGTTCCTGTTATTAAGCACAGCCCAAGCTATGGTCTGCTCTCCTTGTCTCTGTGGGCCCCTTGGAGAAGGCTGGGGCAGTTGGTCCTTAGATTGCAGTTCTGTAGGATTGAAAGGAATGCCTCCATTGTTCCCTAATATCAGAATTCTTAATCTGCGAAACAACAGTTTGACCACTGTCCCTCCTGGTGCCCTGGACACCTTGAACCTAAAGAAAGTTGACTTCTCCAACAATCCATGGCACTGTGACTGTTCTATTCTATATTTGAAGAAGTGGCTGGAAGACTTCAATGAAACTGCTCTTGCCACAGCTATGTGTGCAACTCCAGCTTCAGTAAAAATGAAAGACCTGAGCCAGCTGAATGGGAATGAACTGGAAGGCTGTCGGAAGCCTCTCCCAATCAAATGCCTTGATTTCCTTCAGAGGGACATTGCTCTGCATCTCATGGCAATTGTGGTACTCATTTTAGCACTGTGCATTCTGCAATACTCCAAAAAACTGGCCTCCCGTGCTGCCAGAAAGCAAGATCCTTCTGAAGTCCCACTGCTGCAGATTCATGACCTGGAAGACCAGAAGACCAAGTGAGGCAGTATAGTGCTGAACAGCTTTTCAGCAAGTATTCAAAATCCATCTGTTAAGAAGATTATCTTTGCATAAACTACAGGCACCTACAGTCAAGACTGAATATGTTCCTTGTGCTAAAGGCAGAGCACCAATTGTATTTTGTTTGCTGTTTCTCAAAATGGTTAAATCTGTAACTGGTCCCATAATAAAACCAATGATAATGAAGTTTCATTGCCTGTGTGAATTGTTTGATGTAAAGTATTACTACAGGCACTAATGCTACACCATAGTGTAATAGAAGTATGCTTCCATGCACCATACGTTCTACTATTATTACACTCAGCTATGTCAACCTTCCCAAGGAGAATCAATAATACTGACATTGTGTAAACCTTGATCTAAGTCTGGATGGTATCAAAACAGAGTTAACTTAACTGTGAAATTAAATTAGACAACAAGCCAGTGAATTTAGAACCTAGAGTTCACACACATTCAGAGATCATACACATTCTCATCTGGCCTTTTGACTGTTGACCCCTAACAGAGCAGTGCTGAGAAATAAAGCTCTGGCAGACCCAGGGAGCTTGCAACCAGAGCAAGAGGAGAGAACGAACAGGAGTTTCACATGTCAGAGATAGGAAGGAGAGGTAGGAATGAAACATCTACTGGAGGAATGGACAGAAGAAATGGGGAGACCAAGGAGACAAAGGTAGAGAGGTGAGTGTTTTTAGATTTACACCAGGAAGGGACCTGGTGTAAACCCTAGGAATTCCCCATTCAGAAGCACTGTGTGCTCAGCTTAAGAGGCAGGCCATGTGCTCAGTTCAAGAGGAGTGAGTATGTCCTGGTTACTGCTGAGAGCTAAAAGTAGGAGCTGTGAGTTCTGGGAGAGCCTTGTTGACTCCTAACAGGGCACAGCTGAGGGATAAAGCCAAGGCAGACCCAGGGAGCTCACAACCAGAGCAGGTGAACAGGAAGAGCTAACAGCAGTTGCATGTGTGAGTTCGACAGCAGAGGCCCCGAACAAAATTTTGGGATTTTTGGAAACAGCTATATATTAGTGGACTTTCCCAGTTATGTTGAAGGTAACAAAATAAAGGGAAAGAGTATTCGTAGACAAACAGATCAAAGCAAAAAGCTACCTGGGATTATGGAGGGAAGGGACACTTGAGTTATGGTGACCTGCAAAGTTTTTGCCTGAGTGTAACACGTTGTACATATGCAGCATGTGTAAACTGCTGACACTGTTAGAAGAAGAAGCTAGAGAACTGGAACTTTGAGTAGCCACACTTAAGGCTATAAGGGAAGATGAAGTATGCATTGGCAGGACTCTTGAGAAGCAGCAGTAGTCAATGGAGGCTCTGCAGGGGGAAGAGCAACAAGGAAAGGCAGAGGAGGAGAAATGCTAAGGGAAGAGCAAACGTAGTGGAGGGAGCACCATGGAAAAGAATCACAGGAGCAAAAGGAGAATATCTTCACCAGTGGAACTGTGAAACTGATGAGGAATCTGGGAGACGGCAAGCAGGCAAACTCAATAAGTTTGACTATGAATATACAATTACAATGCGCCAGTACATCCCTGCCTCAAAGCTCCTGCTTTCTCCTTAATTTTATTAGAATGCACAAAAATGCCTTTTATTTGTTAACAGGACATAAATAATTAAAAGCGCACGATATTTGTTGGTTTAAGTAAAGCATGACTAGGCTTAGCCTATCTCCACTCCTTTGTCTAGCTCCTTCCCAGTCTCTCTTCTTTTCATTCATCCTCTTCAGATTCTTACTTATGATGAATATATTTCAGGAGATACTATGAATGCAACCTACACCAATAACCGTTTCAAAGCTGGCATAATGCTTGAGTCCAAAGGGCTCCAGTGTCCATCAAGTGGTCTGCAATTTCATACAAGGGAAAAAACAGCAGGAGACATGGAACAGGAGCAAAGGATGAAATGATTAATGAGGGGTTGGATCCAAATCTTGCATACTGAGATCAGACCATCTGAAATCAACAGAACAAGTTATGCCCATTGATTTCAACATGTCTTTCTGAAAACTAGATTCATGCTCACTGGTTTACCAGCTGCTTTATATCCAACTCACATAGCAGATGATAAAATGTATTTATTTTTACTAACATCCCGGAAGAGTAACAGACTGTGAGATATCTAATCAATTTTAAAATTTATTTTGTTTTGTTTTATTGCATATATATCCTGCCTTTCCTTAAGGCAGTATCTCTGGCTCTCTTCCTCCCCATGTTATCCTCAGGTGGAACAGGCTGAAATAATGTACCTCACCCAAGTCTTCATGGCCAAGAAGGGTTTGAAACCTAATGTCTCCCATGTCCAACATTCTAACCGTTAGACCACACTGGCTACCGTGCTGCACCTACTGGACTTTAATAATAAAATCAAGGAAGGGAAAGGC